TCCCCACTCCTGGAAATGCATCTAGCTTTCATAACAATATTATTTACAGACAATTAATTATTCTAATTTTGAATAGTGAAATGCCAAACATTGAAATGATTTAATGCACAGGAGAAAGTGCATATTCAAATTCATCTCCACACTACGATGAGTAATACCTTAAGATATATCTGTGGCTAATCAGACAAAAGGTCAGAGTGCTACAAAACAGAGCCACATGCTCTTTACAAAACATGATCTCTATAAAACATTCTACATGACTTGGTCTCTTTCCAGTCGTCCTGTGGATGTCAAGTGCACGTCAGGAGTAAAAGTTCTCGGCCAGCTTCCTCATTCTTTTATTGCAGTGTGCTGATGGGGCAGATGGAGAGTGGTCTGCTACGTTTTCTGCAACTGCAAACTGCAAAATCCCACCTCTTCTTCAGATTGCTGCTCTGTGTTGACTCCTTTTAGCTCATCTTTGCCAGGGTTTGATTTGCTTTGGTACCTGGTCAAACTTAAGCTCTACTCTGTCTGCAGCAAACTCGCAGGCAGCAGCTTCTCCCCCCTCGCTCACATTTGTTAGTGTTGTGCTCAGTCGCCTAGTGTCGGAGCTTGAATTATACCAAAATTAGAGGGGATTTACGACTGTGCGCTATGTACTTCGAATATTGTGTAGTTTTTGTTTTATACAGTTGTCAGTCAGGCATCTAACTATGAAACAAATTCGAAGATCCTGGGCTTCTGAAACAGCAACCCGGGCTTAAGCCCAGCAAGCCCGTCGCCACCGATGAAGGCTCCCCCACCCTGAGCCTGGCTCTACTGGAGGCCTCTTCTTGTTAAAATTGAGTTTGTCCTCTCTGTGGTCACCAACTGCTGCTCAGAGGGGATCGTTTTCTCTCTAATATTGTAGGCTCTTTAGCTTACTGAGGATATGACTTAGAAAAAAATGAATTACTGAAATATGAAGACAAAAACGAATTTTTTTATATATATTTGAGAAAATTGTGTCTTAAATTTTAGATATTACTACTAATCCTATCTGATTATACACGTTATTCCATAAACATGACATTTGACATCCTCTGCACCTTTAATGATAAGTTTCGCCACTTCAGTATATATAAATAAAGACAGTGTGATGAGAATTAGAATAGGTTCTAGATTTTTCCAAGGCTAGTAAGCTGATCATCCGCATTAACTTCTGATGCATGACAGAAACCACTGTGCTCAGAAAACAGAAACGAGTTTACACCAACTTCACGAGGTAAGGAATTAATGATTATGAATCCTTTTTTTTAAAAAATGCATTGGTCATCCATGTTTACAGAATCAGATATTTTGTGTAGTTTTGTGTGTATTTATTTCACTGAGAACTTTCTGTCAAAGCTCATTAGAAGTTTGAACTCTAAATGAGCAACATGTCCAAAGAAAAGAGGCAAACAGGGAAGAGCTCCACATATATTTATGGCATTATTTATTTGAAGCTACACAGAAGAAAAAAAAAATGACTGCTCGTAAAAAGGTGCAAGGATTACATGTAGGAGAATTGTATTACATAAATATCTACTAGGCCCTGGTCAGCTTTGATCTGCCCTGAAGCGGACATGAAGCTACTTAATACGAAAAGGAGGCCATCGATTAAGAGTGGATGCCATCTAGACAGGCACTAATACAGACAGAGGCACGGGGATCTGGGCGGGGAGGTTCAGACATCACTCAGGCAGGTTTTCTGCTAACTACTCTGCTCTTCAACATCATTTCCTCGAAACTTTCTCCTGCCTCTTCAAGTATAAAAGAAGATGATAGAAGAAATAAAAGGTCACATTTTACACAGCTGGAATGAAGCCTCATCATTCGTTAACTTCCTCAGAGGCTTTGGGCATTATCTACTGGGTGAAACCGCTTCTACCTCATGGATGCTACTGCAAGTCCATAATACGTTCACTGTACACTCAGCAAAGACATTCCTTTCATTGCACGTCATGTTATAAAGAAAGCTGTCAGTTGCACAAATCTCTGTTCAGTTTTTTTTCTCCTGTTCTTCTTTAAAAAGTTATCTCTGCCTACTTTCTTCAAAGTAGTGCGTTCTTCTGCTAAAAAATACACAATCAAAACACTCCACACCGGTGGCAGGAAACGGCATCACTACTGCAGATAACCAGAGGACCATGATGTTGCTGCTTCTTCAAGCATACAAACAGGTTACATAAAGAAATGGACAGTTATGTACGTCGATGGCTTTTCCCTTTGAAGCCAGGAGATCTGCCTGGTCAGTATAAAGTGTCCTGTGAGAGCGAGGAGGTGGAGGGCTGACTAGCGAGTATCCACGAGGTCCTTGTGTAGTGTCAGGTGAGCGGGAAATATCTGATGATCGCATACAGGTTTCATGTGAAGATGTGGAGGAAAAGCAGCAGTCGTCTGGATGTTCTACGAGGCGCTTTCTGGAAAGGCGACTCTTTGGCGTGCACTCCGGGGTCGATTTCGCGCCGGGGCGCCGGCTGTACGTTCGCTCTTGGGTTCGGACGGTTGACTTTCAGCCTGCGGGGTGCCGGCATCACCGACAAGCTCACGCAGGAACTTGAACTTGGACAGGAAGAGCTGCCAGACTACATACCAACCTGAGAGGTAAAAGAAAAAAAGTGTAAATGCAAATATCTAATGAGCCTATCATATGCCTTTACACACCGACACATGGTTTGAGAACTACACATTATGTGTGGGGAGATTTCACTGACACACTTTGGGCTCTTTAATGCCAACTGAGCATTACATAAGCTCTAAATGCAAAGGTTGGTTCCGCTTAATTTAGCAAGGTTTACCTAAGAAAAAGGGCTGACAGTGTATGACAAAAACAGTCCTAAAAACTAACTGTTGTAGCAAGTATGTATAGGTCCTCAGTCATTCAGGTCATAGTAATCCTAAGGAGTTTGGAAAGAAAGCGACTGGACTGTTTCTTCATTATCCTGTTTCTTTTCACTCCAGGACCGTCTGTACATAATTTCGTTCCACCCCATGATGCGAATGACAATAAAAGCTTCCTTGAATATCTTGAAGTTTCGTGATGGGGTGTCGCCTCTCATCTGAGAGGCTTCTTCAGTTGTAAAACCAGATGGTGGAGAGTCCCAGGTATTTATACTCCAGTGGGGGTTGTCCCTTTAGAGGGCTGTTGACCCACTATTAATCACGTGCCTCATCACATTTCCTAGGTGTGAAAAAAAGGCGGGGGACATTACCCACTCTGAGACCTTGCCTCACCCCAACGTGTGAGGGGTCACCTGAGTGGGGATGCCTGAGAGTAAAAATTTTTAACTCAAACACACAAAAGCCTTTTTTCAAACTTCTATTGTACAATTAAAAGGAGGCGAGTGGTGTAGCGTTTACTAAAGGAGCAGACAGAGCAATATGTTCTTCAAAGGATCCTGAATTAAAACTCTGCAGTGCTTTTTAGCAGCAGGTGAAAAAACAGCTTTTAAAACTTTAATGGTAAGGCAAAGTCTGCAAACTCCTGAAAATCAGATTCAGCCTACTTCATATACATGTGCTTTTTATGCATTTCTCGGCAGTTGAAGGCACTTCTTGGCCTTTCTTAACTCACAGAGGAGACAAGAAACAAGAGAAAATTCACACTTACTGAAAGAGTTTTACAGTTTTTTTCTTTAAAAGCGATTCATTATCAGAATAGTCGTTGATTAATTTAACATTTGACGAGTTAAAGGCTGCAGTAGTAGGCACATGAGTTTAAGTTTAAGGTAAACACACATAAAAGTGAGTGTGAGCTAAATAAGAAAATCCAGAATGAGGCAAACAGCATTTTTCCTCCCTGTAGTTCCCTGTAGTCTGCAGATCATATGAGCCACAGTTAGTAAAGCGAAGGAGGCAGTAGATAAAAATAGAAAGGCACGCAGGGAGACTTTAAAGGAGTAGTTCTGCCTTTTTTAAAGGAGACTTTTCATTATGCGAGTCTCTTACTTTACACCCAGCTGCTATAGCCCTTTGTTAGCCACCGAGAATGGCCACCAACAAAACACCAGACCCTTTAACATAACGTTGGGACACCAATTAAGAGATTTACATACGTGACTAACGAAGGTTTTCTCATATAAACTTACCAAACAGCATGAAGAGCAGCGCACAGATGAGTGCGGCCACAATGACCAGCACTGTGAGCCCGACACTCTGCCACATCGTAGCTGGACGTCCGGCAGCAACAACAGCATAAGGAGAATGAGGAGGACAGGGGTTTGCTCAACACCGCACGCAATACTGTGGCTGGCTGTGTTGGTGGAGTCAAAGGGCAGCGGGCCGAGACGAGAGGGACAAACAGCAGGGCATCGCAGGTTCGCTGCGGCTTGTTTTGCTAGCTCGTTGGCTAGCTTAGCTGCTAGCAGCGGTTTAAAAATCAATCGTAAAGGCCGGAAGAGTGGAACATTAGCTGACTGTAGCCAATCACAGCAGGGTAAAGTCCTCCTGCTGTTCGCTACATCACTGCAACATATATTTACTTGCGCTTTCAGACCAGACAGACGTGCTGTAAGCCACAACAAAATCGGCGTCGTGAGCCGACTCAAAGTGAGCATGCGCGGGTTCACGTTGACTTCTGGGTGATGTAGTTTATCTTTAATTCCGTGGGTTTTTTTCTCGATGGTTACAGAAGCAGGATAAAGGGGAAAAGGTAGTCTAATAAATTAAGAACACAGTTGAAGTAACAGCGCCACAGGCACACAGTGTACTTTGAGACAGTGCAAACATTTTTATGTACAACAGTGGTTAAAAAAACAAACAAACAAAAAACCCCAAATGACGTGAAGTAAAGGAAGTAAAAAGTAAAGCGGAGACTGTACAAGAGTGCTGCTCCCGTAGTTTATATAATACTTTAACAAGAAAATCATTGTCCCTAAAGTCTGTGTGTGACTCTCACTGACTGACCGAAAATTCAACTGGTTACTTTTGTAAAAGCCATCAATTTTCAGGCTCCAAAATATAATAAATATTATATTAAACCGTGTGGGGAGAAGATGATGACACAGTATCAGAGGGATGAATAAAGCGGTGACGGGTGGGAGATGGCTGATCTCACCCTTTATCCTGAAGCTACTTTGAAGTAAAGTATTCATACATGGACATAGATTGTCAAATAGATGGCTGACTTTGACTTCAGCCATGGTGAATATGTAAACTTCCTTAGGTAAGAAAAAGAATGCAACCCAACCTATCATTAATGTTATTATTACTGACTGGATTGAGGATAAAGAAGTGTTGTGATTGGTCAGTGGTTTAACACACAGATCATTCCATCTCAACTGATCAAAAAAGGAAAAAAACTCACTAAAACTTATGTAAAAATTTCATGAAAAATAAATCAAATACAATACAATACAATCTTTGGCTGCTGTACATAAATATGAGTAATTAAAAATTATTTTGGGAACATCACAAATTTCAGCTTTATTATTTACAGAATCTCGGTCTTTCTAATAAAGTTAATTTGGATTTGGTACATTATGTCCTAACTGGGAAATATCTGACTGATGCTGTGAAATAATTTTTTGTTCCTTTAATATCGGTGAAAGAGTTTACCTGATTTGAATTGCTTTAAATAATATTCTGTTCCTCATATATGAGAGAAGTTGTTATCAAAATATCAGTACTTTCCCTACAAGTGGTGGTTTTTACAAACCTCCGAGTGTACTGTCAGTGATCGAGCGTCCAGATATTTTCCGGACTTTAAGTGTCATGTTGACTCGAGCTACACTGCCTAGAATCCATATTCACAAAGAAATAGTACCGGAAAAGGAAAGTGACCCCACAAAAGGAAATATTATATAAATGCCTAAAAATACACAGATCTTAAGAGTGGTTTAAGCTTTTATTTATTTATTTTTTGCATTGATAAAAATGATAGCAGGGATCTGATGTTTTGCATAGTAGCTGTTAAGAAGTGTATTTTCCCCGGGGAAATTTTTTAATGCAAATCAGGAATGGTCATCTTGGACTCTTTACCAAAAAACAAAAAAAAAGAAAAGTTGATGAGCGACCCACGTGGCCTGTGCAGCCAGTCACTTAGCTCAATTAACACGTTGTTTGTAGAAAGTAACACAAAATGTGCATTTGTCAACAACACGATGTCAGCTAAAAACATATTTGTTGTGTGGAAATTAGGTTTTTGTGCTGGTGATCATGATCTAAAAAAAATAAACCTCTGAAGATCATTATTAGCATTTATGCAGGATTAATAGTGTGTTATAAAAACTGTCCAAAACATTATCACATGATATTGTTTTATGCTTCATTGTGAGGGTTTGTGAGTTGCAAAGATGCATACTCTCCTGTAGGCAGAGATGAACCTAAAGCGAGTCATTTATTAATGGACTGCTGCAAAATCCAGGAAGGAAAAAATACAAAGTCTAAAAGGGGTAACTGGGAAACTATAAACCATAAACATAGAGGAAACCACTTCAAGGTGAACAAACGCTCTGATGAAGGAGAAAGGAAAACAATAATTATATATATTATATGTGTTTGGAGAAGGTGAGATGGCTGTTTACAACGGCACACAGCTGAACTGAATCACAGAAGACGAGACACAGGAAGCAAAACTTAAAACAAAGACTGAGTAATGCTTAAAATAAAGCAGGAAATGAGCTCCCTGAATGGGGAAAAACACAAATCATGTAAATGAAAGTAAACACACACACATAAAAAACTGAAATCAAATGGATTATTTAAATAAAGAAAAATAAAAAATGCTGGGTAAACTTACCCATGACATGTTTGGGTTGTGCAGGCTGACAGCTATAGAGTAACCAATACAATAGAGTAAATTTCCCACCATCACTGCAGAGTATACTTAGCAACAGACGGCATGTAATTATATTCTCATGAACCTGCCAAATATTTAGATCATTAGTAAATATTATATTATTATTACTACAGTATAAGTGAAATGTAAAGCATTTGCGACCAGAATCGTTGAACTGGTAATAAAACATATCACTTAGGAGTTTTTTGTACGTTCTGTTGGCAAACTTGACAACTTTTACAGATGCTGTTCTATAAAAATGTTGAATATTTCCCTCTGAAATGTGCAAAAGAAAAACAACATTTATTTTTTAGGCCTTTCAAATTCAAATTCTAATTTTATTTGTCACGTACACAGTCATACACAGTACGATATGCAGTGAAATGCTTGGACAACTGCTCGTGACCTAAAGAAAACAAAAAAGGAAAGGCTATGAATAAGATGGGAAATAAATATGAAAAATTCAAAAGGGTAAATTTAACTAGGAAGGAATAAAATATAAATTAAGGTTAAAAATGAAATAACTGTACAACACAAATTAGAATGAAGGGTAAATTTAACTGGGAAGAATAAGATAAATATATAAATTAAAGTTGAAAATAAAATAACTACAACAAAATACACAATACACAATATAGAACTATATAAGAATGTATGAAGAAATCTAAATATAAATAAATATATACACAATAACAGCAGCTGTACAAGTATTAACCGGAAATGAAGAATATAGTGACCAGTGTTGTGCAAAACCAAAGTCCAGAAAGTCAAGTGTGTGTGTAAGAACTGTATGTGTGGGTCAGTACTGTGTGGTGGTGTGATTGAGAGACCGTATCGCCTGCGGGAAGAAGCTCCTCCTCAGTCTCTCTGTGTTGGTCTTCAGGGAGCGGAATCGCTTTCCTGACCTCAACAGAGAGAACAGTCTGTTGTTGGGATGGCTGAGGTCCTTCACGATCTTCCTGGCCTTCTGAAGCAGAAACTGTGATGAGATGCACAAAAAACATATAATCGTGTATTTCAGGAAGAATAAAAAGGACACCTCACCCTGATATTTACTGCACATCCTTTTGTCCCCCCAGTTAAATCACAAAAAAGATTAATATTACATGACTCAATGAATAATTTTTTCCATTGACCTCTATAACACTGATGAGTTATACCTGGCCTGCACAGCTTTACAGATGCTCTGTTTCTATGTAGGCCTATACGTGCTGGCAGACATTTTCATACTCTGTTTCATTATAAGGGTTAAATGTTCCGTTCCACGCTCAAAGACGGCTTTTTTGATAAAGGCCTGGATTAGGCTGTGCAGCATTTCTTCACAAGCCCAGCAGGTGGAGTCATGAGCAGCCTCCTGAAAGACATGAAAGCCCACTGATAAAAGATTTTCAGCCAGCTGTCTGTGGGCGTATTCAGTCTTTGTTAGCAATAAAAGATTTCCAACTCAAAGGTCAGGCGACCTCGTTAGCAGATCAAATCCTGTGAAGTTTGGTAAGAAACCCCCACCTATGTTTTGTTACGCCCTTGCACTTTAATTTAATCGAGGTCGAGCGTCTAATCTGGAGCATCTAATCCCCACCACGTTCTTATGTGGGTGCAGAAAGTCAGAAGCGATCAGATTTGGCCCTGTGCCCCTCAGTTACACTTTCATTTCCACATTGGAAGGCTTTAAACACGTAAAGCTCCATTACTGCTGCCAGTCTGTCTCTCAGCAGACATCTGACACCATGCATTGACATGTGAATACTTGCATTCACTCGTTCACTTAAAGAAGCCTCAGTATTTGCATATTATGCTGAGACGTGGACACAACATGAGTCATGCTACATGGTGGCATTTTAAAACTGGAAGGATGGTGCAAGTTCTTACAATTAACTGAAAGCCCCAAGGTAACGCTGTCATGTAAGCATGATAGATTACTCGGGCCTTTCACATGCTTCATTATTCACATTATTCACATCATTATTCTGTATTTTTTAGCAACCAAATCAACAGTTCTCTTACTTGGTAATAAAACTTGATTAAAAGCAGTTTTCTGTCATCTGTAGTCCAACAAACCTGACGAGTCAGATGCAGTTTTTTTCTCCACAGGAAGGAAGGAGAAAAGTCAGATTAAGAGAAACTCCCCTTTTTAAAAAAACAAAAACAAAAAAAACCCCAAAAACCCTTTTAATATGACATGACCTATTAGCTATCACTACATGAGCTTGTTACCACCATCTTAGCAAGACATAAATTGAAAAAAACAAAACCCACCAAAAAGGTCATATGCTATGAATAGCTCTGTTTTGCAATTGTGCAACAGTAAAGGGAAAGTGGAGCGCTGCATGCAAAATCTTGTCAGTCATCAAAAGTACAGGGTCCCATGGTGGGCAGTGAACTTTTCAATCTAACCATCCACATCAAATCTTTTGGGTAATATATATATAAAAATACAAATTAAGTGTGTGCTTGAGGTCTTTTGAATGAGCATGTCCCATAATGTAGCTACAAGTTGCTCTCTGCTACCAGTGTTTCCACTCTGTAAGGACACACAGCAATGTGAGGACATTGATGCTCGTGGACCCTTACGGTCTCTATTGCAGGTGGTAGTTGCTCCTTTAGCTTAGCCTGGGCAAACCCCAGTAGTTGAGGCCCGGCCACTCAGCTCGGTCACTCGAGGAGGACACTGAGTAGAGCTGCTGCTCCTCAGCATTGAAGGAGCGAGTAAAGGTGGTTCAAGCATCTTAATGGGATGCTCCCCGGATGTTCCTAGGTGAGGGGTTTAGGGCGCGAATGACATGCT